TTGTCGGAAAATGCACAAAGTCACATGTTTTCGATCAGTTGTCGGTGCCTATTTAGACAACTGGTTGGTTATAGTAAAACATATTGAAATTGTAAATAAACAATAATATGGCTAAATATGTTTATGACACGTACGGACACAATATCAGAAACTGCACCCGGTGTCATAGTTTGTGACGTGGGCTGGTCCCCTGCTCTAGAATATTGGAAATACGATTTATTGATTAAATACGAATTCTAAGATTCAAACTACAACACATGTACGTACACGAGAGACGGACTCCTCCGGGTAAACCGTCCGGATTGTAATATCTGTTGGGTCAAAAATTACAAATAACGACGCTAAAATATTCGGAATCCATTTTTGATTAAACACATGTATAATTACGTTAATTGTACTACCGAGGTTATTCTATCATAAATGAGTTTCTTCTATGAGAGAACATAGCTTGAGTTTTCACTATGCATATAAATACGGCTGATTCAACTCCGATGCCTGGAATGACCGAACCTGTTTCCTATAGCAACACGAAGGTGAATCACAAGACTTTGGGATCTGTACGACATACACACGTCATAGTGTATATAAACATATAAAAACGCCGGGGAAATCTCCGACTTATATAAACGTTTTTGTATCAGATAAGCCGGGCGTTCTGATGTCTATTAGTACAACACAACCCTTACGTAAACCTAAGGATTATCTCGCCCGAGGTCTAGATCACAAACGATGATACGGGTTTTTTGTCTTTCTTCCAGATAAGTTGGGCTAAGTATCTTTAAATTGTCGGAATCTACCAGTCAGTTATCGCACTTCCGGTTAAGAATACATCGTGACCTTTTAAATTAGTAGTGTTACGGCATGTTTTCAGAAATCTAAGACAGAATCGGGTCTGAATGATAAAATAAAAGACTAGAGTTGTCTACAAAGATAAAATTTGACAAATAAGAATGCGCTGTAAGTGTTTTGCTGCAAGATTTGCCCGTTATCACAGTTCCGAATGAGAAAACATTTTGACAGTTGTTATCGTGGTCGGGTCTCGAGACGGAGTATTAAAGCCAAAACGGTATTTCTGTAGGTGACATGAGCTTATATTGACAGATGTTAACAAGGAAAAGAATGGCACAACAACGGTTTTGAAGCAATAATATACATTTGTGTAAATGAAAATATACAAAGATTACAAGAAAAAGAACATAGAAAAAGTATAATGACGGTCACGTGCTTCCTACAAAATAACTTCAGATATGTCCAACGTTCTGTCTCCTTTTAGCGGAGAAAGGGATTAATATCAAGACAATAACAAAAGACCTTTGGGACAGGAAGAGACATGTGAATCAATTTTGTCATGAAGTCGGGTCTTTCTGGTGTGCGGTTTCACAGCTTGCGAGTCGGTCGTCGAGCGAAAGCACAGTGTGTTCTTTTGATTTAGTTCGATCTGTCCCCGAGATTGGTAATGATGCCATTTTAATTCAATTCCTGAAGAAGAGATGACTCAGTGCACACTGCCTGTGGTACAAACTGGTGCGGCGCGCTGTAGAACCAGCCCGCGGCTACAACAGACGGTCAGGTCACTGCATGATGTAATGGAGCTGAATTAAAGCTACTGAATTATCATCGAGAATATTAATTTTGAACAATATGCATTCAGAAGTAGAGTTTCGGTTTTATACGCATTAATATTCGGCGATATTTGTCATATAACTCTTACAAGCTCGCATCCCGAGTCTCCGATTCTTCAACCTCACTCCAATTCCCAAATAAGAATCGACTTCGGTATTACAATACACGTTTGGTCATTCTGTACAGAAAGGAGGAGGGACAAGGGGTTAAGTGGTAGAGGAGGGAATCTATCACGTAACAAAAAGATGAACAAGATATTTAGACTGACACACATGGAGATTACTAGCAACTCCTCGTCTATAGAACAAGCAAACCAAAGGGAGTTCAGAGGCTGGACAGATGCGCGCCACACGAACGCGCCGCTGTTGACATAGGTCACGTTGTGTGTTGCGGAACTATTTCGATACCATCATGTTTTCTCTGTACCACAGGAATGCGCCACTGATGACATAGATCACATTGTGTGTTGAGGAACCAGACTATTTTGATACCATCATGTTTTCTCTATACCACATGATGACAGATCGCATCAACGGACCTCCCCGTTACACAAAGGTCGGGGTAACATAAATGATGTGTGTGGAATGTACATCTATATAAACACGATGGGTGATGTCGCGGATACTTCGGTTCGACATACGTATAGTCTTGTAGTATAACCCCCGAACCACCGAACCTGTTCTCAGTTCTGATAGATTTGAAATAAATTACGTGATGGAATCCTATACTTACAACAATTATCGAGTTTGTTCTGATTGTAGATCAGCCTTGATATTTGAAATACTTTCCTTTTTGCGTTTTTTTTTTCAACCTCTCTTATCTATATATATTATCATAAATATTTTGCTGTTTTTTTTTAATATTTAAAGCATCGAGTTAACAGAGGCAGAAGGATAGCAATATTTGGAAAAACTACCACATCCCCACTTGCAATGTACGTCATTCTGAGGACGATATGGCCAAAACCTTTCCCTATAATTAGCTACAATTTCTATTTCTAGACACACACGTAACCCGGAACTATGTGGTCAGGGATCCATGTGTAAGTTGCATGTCTGACCAGACACTGGACACACGGGGTGCTGTATTGATTCGATCAGATTGACCGCTAGATCACGTGACCGGACAACCATTACATGTCGAAGGAAAATTTCCTGTTGACCGACCTCGTCTATACTGGGGGATTAATTAGGACAGCTATTGTTCTCGGTGTGATCGTGCATGACGATGGATGCTGGAATCTTTCTAGACCCGGGCATTTTCTTTCGTGCGTTACAATTTCAAACGCAAAGTAGACACATTTGTGGTTCACAACACGTTTTTCCTTTGTGTTTCCGTTTGGTGGCTCTCATTGGCCCCTTGTCTAGTTAGAGTAGGGTCATGCAATCAAGTTTACCTTATGTCACGTGACACCGATCTATGGAAGCTGTTATAAAGACTCAAAACGCGAATAAATTAAACAAGAATGTTTGCTGGATATTAAGATGGTATGCATTTAATTCTACATTACTACATGTACCGTAAACCAGAACAAGTAGCAAAGCGTCTTTAACCACGCTAACCTACGCAATCCGGAACCCTGGTTATAACAAATGTCAACAACACGATCATTCACAATACAGAACCCATTCCTTAGACCGAATTTTACAAAGATGCAGACCTCGTTTTAAATGTTGGCTATTCAGCACATTGCAAAACAGTTTGAATGATAACACGAGAATTTTAATCATTTGCAAATATACGTGTAAATACGCCCCTTTGCCTCTACAGATCATATATCTAAATTAGTCAAGATATGTTAAAGGAAAATTCACGCTAATTGGTGAAAGAATTTGATAAACAAATTTCCAGTCCTTTATCATAATTTGATATCCGGTCTTAGAGGTTCTGATAAATTAGGGAGATCGTCTGATTAATTCATGAGAAGAGAGTTTAATTAATCTGCCAGTGTGTTAGAACTATATCTTTGTCCGTGGTTAAACAGCTCATTCTTATCAACAATGATCTTTAATTGTTGTGTGACATAATTGTTACACTGATGTCAGCACATGTCCCTGCCAATCCCTGGATACCACTGATGTCAGTACGTGTATGTACATATCCCGGATACTACTGATGTCAGTACGTGTCCGTACATATCCCTGGATACCACTGATGTCAGTACGTGTCCGTACATATCCCCGGATACTACTGATGTCAGTACGTGTCCGTACATATCCCCGGATACTACTGATGTCAGTACGTGTCCGTACATATCCCTGGATACTACTGATGTCAGTACGTGTCCGTACATATCCCTGGATACTACTGATGTCAGTTCGTGTCCGTACATATCCCTGGATACTACTGATGTCCGTACATATCCCTGGTTACCACTGATGTCAGTACATGTCCGTACATATCCCGGATACTACTGATGTCAGCACGTGTCCGTAAATATCCCTGGATACCACTGATGTCAGTACGTGTCCGTAAATATCCCCGGATACTACTGATGTCAGTACGTGTCCGTACATATCCCCGGATACTACTGATGTCAGTACGTGTCCGTACATATCCCCGGATACTACTGATGTCAGTACGTGTCCGTACATATCCCGGATACTACTGATGTCAGTACGTGTCCGTACATATCCCTGGATACCACTGATGTCAGTACGTGTCCGTACATATCCCCGGATACTACTGATGTCAGTACGTGTCCGTACATATCCCCGGATACTACTGATGTCATTATGTGTCCGTACATATCCCTGGATACTACTGATGTCAGTACGTGTCCGTACATATCCCTGGATACTACTGATGTCAGAACGTGTCCGTACATATCCCTGAATACCACTGATGTCAGTACGTGTCCATACATATCCCCGGATACTACTGATGTCAGTACGTGTCCCTGCTAATCCCCGGATACTACTATGTCAGTACGTGTCCGTACATATCCCTGGTTACCACTGATGTCAGTACATGTCCGTACATATCCCCGGATACTACTGATGTCAGTACGTGTCCGTACATATCCCCGGATACTACTGATGTCAGTACGTGTCCGTACATATCCCCGGATACTACTATGTCAGTACGTGTCCGTACATATCTCCGGATACTACTGATGTCAGTACGTGTCCGTACATATCCCTGTATACTACTGATGTCCGTACATATCCCTGGATACTTCTGATGTCCGTACATATCCCCGGATACTACTGATGTCAGTACGTGTCCGTACATATCCCCGGATACTACTGATGTCAGTACGTGTCCGCACATATCCCCGGATACCACTGATGTCAGTACGTGTCCGTACATATCCCCGGATACTACTAATGTCAGTACGTGATGTTACGTACACGGGCTATGAGGTAACTACTTACCGGCACACAGCTGCAGGATCCCGGCCACCCGGGCTATTGTCGGTGAGACTATTCCCTGGATACACACGGCCAGGATAGCCGTGAGGGACACCAGCATAGCTATCCCACACCCCACTCCAATTGTCAGAGTTCCAATCTGCCAGGACAAACTAGGAATGTCTCCGAACGTGGAGTAACGTCCACACTGTTCTACCATTACAAGGGATCCGAACTCGTTCATCCGGGGGTAGTTACATCTCCGGAAAACCCCGAAATACACGGGTGTCTCTCCCATGTACCCACGTAACCAGAAGGGCATATAGAATCCTACACTGCCCGCCAGAGCTGCTAGTAGGGACGTGAACGCCCAGAAAACCCCGACACCGGACAGACCAGCCATTCTCTACACGGTCGTAACGTTAACACACAACGTAACGGACGTACACTAGCTAAAGACAGTTAAAATCAAACATACAAATTCTTCCTTTATCAAAGAACATCCGAAATTTTGATTTCCTCAGTAATTCTAACAGAATAAGGCATGTAAACGAATACCTTAATTGCACCCATGTAATTCCTTGTTTCACTTCCTTAAATTCTGCCGTCTTTTCTCTATGGACTTTTAACTAATATTCTCCCGAATAAATCCAGACGGTGGACGCACGCGCTGATCGAATTCACACATCTTACACCGCTATGTAAACTTGAAACAGAGGATCTATACTATATCAACGTACAGGTCTATCTTATTGTATCAATCCTTCCCCGCTTGTCATCGAAAGAGAATTAGCCAGCACGGCAGTAATCCCCAACTCGCTGAGAATGATGTGAAAGACAGAGTATGAAGACAAAGCGTGCAGTCCAAACCACCTCGCATATCAGTCACCGCAACATCGTGGCTACAACCGTCACGGTCGCTAGTCGTGCAGGGGATAAACAGAACACACGATCTCTGATCTGTTTACATACGGGGTCTCAGCCATGAATGAAATCTTTACAAACTACACACGCTTACCGCTTACGCTATAAGACTTGTGACTGATCACTCAAGCGGAGAGTTCAGCCCTTGGTTCAGAGGTCATGTCAAGAGAGAGGTCAACGGATATTTTCTGAAGCGATAGAGTTTGCTCTTCAGAATTACGTATCTGAACCCACTAGATTTATAAAGCAAATGATTAAAAACTCCTGTCACATTGTTTGTACCTACCATTCGAAACATTTCAATATTAAATACTTTTTCCTAATGGATGAAACTATATGTGCGTGTTTTGTCCGAGAGACTCATGAATTTGTAATAAGCTTGTACGAGTTATGTCCCTTGATGTTGCAGGAGATTTAATACTTGTTACATGTGTGGAGTACCTACTATTAATACGTCACTGATACAAACCAAACCAGGTGTCAGAAAGTGGTATAAAGTATATTTTGATAAAAACAAACAAACAAACAAAACAAAAAACGACAAACTTTCATTATATGAAACAAAGATTGAATTACTTATTTTTCTACAAATTCTACAGCTTAAATATAATAAAACCCGTGTGAGGACTGTCCACCCTCACACGGCAAAGAACACTGTCTGTCAACCAACCATTATAGAGACGACATTTCTTGTATGGCATGTAGATATAAATATTACTTACATTATATATATATATTACTTACATTATTAGGATGCTGGTCTGATATTACTGCTTTTGGGTTAAAGAAATTAACACTGAGCACACATACCTCTACATCTATATTGAATGGTGACTTATGGTATGTCAGTAAGTAAAACGCCAGCACGAAATCTGTAATAAAATGTACTCCCTCTATCTATCCGACGACTAGTAAAGAAAAAATATACTGAATGAATAAAACAATCAAACTAACAAACAAACAAACAAAGCACTCAAACTCCAAAACGATACACATTATACGATACACTAACCCGTTTTGTACACGTGATCTAGGTGCGGATTTATAGCAATAAATATGTGGGATTTATATAAGCTGCTAGCTATATATGGCCATGTTCTGTATTTTTAATGGTACGGTATTCTCGTATTGTTTCTATATTTAATTCGGTTTTTTCAGGAACTTTAACAAATCTTCATCAATACACTGATAGTCAAACATGTAGAGTGATTAACAGATGTTGTCCTGTGTGGTGTCGTGTTATACTTTCTCCTTCTAAAGAACATCTTCTTTACCATATAACATTCACAACAACAAAACATCGAGAACATGCTTTTGTTTGGTGATATTGAACGTATCATCACTCTCAGTAATCTATATCAAACCAGATTTCTCAAGTTCGCTCCCTTGTGATGGCCTATATCTGTGACACTACACGTAATATACTGTAGAATTGTTTATTTTCGAAGTGCTCTCGTTTTAACCATTGTAGAGGATAGAATTAAATAGCGAAAATAAGAAATCTTCCAACTGAAATTGATTATGTAAATTTCGACAATTTCATTACTTCCGCTGAAACATTTTTACTTAGTTTTAACCATCGAAAAATAAACAACCTTTAACAGTATTAAGGTGTTATCTATCAGGGGTTGTGTGAGAAACAAATAAGCCACAGATGTTAGTATACAACACAACATTTAATATAGTCACGTGATCACCGTCTTATCCTGATTAGTAAAGCCTCGATCGTAAGTAATCCGGATCCAAACGCTGACACGCTAGCACCAAGGACAACTGCACCTATCCAGGATCCTGTGACGTCACGAATCACTCCTGTTATCGATACATTAAAATTAGTATATTATGCATGTCAATTATGAGGATAAACTTCGGATAATCTGGCAAGCGAAGTGATGAACATTGACAAGTTGTGAGTTTAGGCATGTGGACAGTGTATCACCTGTTTCGCTTGTATGGAGCAGGAGCAGATTTTTTCTAAATATACAAAGCTCGCGTTATACCCCTTCCCCCCCTCCCCCCCCCCCCCCTCTCTCTCTCTCTCTCTCTCTCTCTCTCTCTCTCTCTCTCTCTCTCTCTCTCTCTCTCTCTCTCTCTCTCTCTCTCTCAACTTGTTTATAATTGTTTGTTATTATATCATACTGCCACCTTGTAAATATATAATGTAAGTGTATTAATGTTTCGAAAAGGCTTTATATAAGTTGTAAAAACTGTGTCTATTGTTACGTATGTGCAATAGAATATGTTTAAATCAATCAAATAAAAAAAGCGAAACTGATTTAGAAATGTATAAAACAATTTGTATCTTATAAAACTTCATACTAAATTTTGAGGAATAATATTGACAGTTGGATTTGTTTATATATATATATATATACTGACACAATCAGTTTAGATAAATAAGAAAAAATGACCAAAAAAAGTGCCAGAATGAAAAAGTATTAATGTCCGTAACACAACCTACCCGCCAGGAAAGGATTCACCAGTAGCGCTAGCGAGGCGAGAAAGGCGGCGAATCCCCAAGCACTAGATAACTTTTCAACTCCAAACTTGTCAGCAAGAATGGCTATTTGAGTTCCTGTGTAACCTCCGGTGAAAATTCCAAGGAACATAGAGAGCAAACAGAATCCAATAAATGAATTGATGTATGGAGTAATGAACCCGACCATAGCGAACACAGTCAGGTTCAAATGATACATCGTTTGACGCTTGACAAAGCCAAAATCGGCGAGCCAACCAAAAAATATCCGACCGAAAAGATCAGCTGCGCCGAGAATGGACACAATTATGGCCCCTTGTTCATCACTGATGCTCTTTTCATTTGCAACTGAAGGAAGGACATTAAAGAGCGAATGTTGACCCATAATTCCCGTAAATAACACAAATATAAAAACAAGGTAAGTCGAATTCTTTAGTAAGGACCATTCTAACATCGGTTTCTTTTTTGTATCGTCTACTTTCTCTGGTTCAGATGTGCGTTTGTTATAATTCAGAGTGTGTTCGAGCCCCGAACCAGAGAGCGAAGGAAATGACTCTAGACTTGCGAACAACAAGTCATTCGTAAGTTCTTTTGATTGTAGAGTATTACTGTGTTGTGTGGAATTTATTCTGACAGATTCTGTTCTCGGTCTTGTTTCGTCCTGAATCCGTTTGATGGCTATACATGGCAATGATGAGGTAGAAAGGTGATGACTTGTTTCGTTTCGTTTTATATCCAGAAGAAATTGTTCTTGGTTTTGTATGGCTCTATCATACATGCATGTTTCTCCACTTTCTGTTTTGGAAGTGATCCCAGTTCCTTTTCCATCCTCAAATATTTCGAAGTCTAAACTTTTCGTGTTTTCCAGTAGAGGATGTGTTGTGTCCTTCTCACCAGTAGAGTGTTTATCGTCTCTTTCCGTTTTATTTGTTTTACCCCTGACTTTGTTAAACAGAACCCAGTATGACGGAGGCCTGAAGAAAGAACAGAAAACACAGGTATGAAACATGAAAGCTCCAACAAGGAGTAGACACCCTCCAAGTCCGTAATAGTTGATGAGCACGCGGATGATGGGAGGTAACGCGAAGGATCCGGCCCCAGAACCGGAAGCGGAAAGTCCATTGGCAAGAGCTCTTCTCTTCTGAAAGTGGAATCCTTGAAAAGTGATGGACGGTGACAAACACAAACCAAAGCCAACTCCTGGAACAAACGAAAGAACAAAATTACACATTCTAATTTAATGTCCATATTTTGTGATAAATGGACGTTTTATACGTTTATTTTGGTTAAGAGTAGTTTCTGGGGATTTACTTCCTGTAGGTATGAAATAAACGCCAGTAGCTTACGTGTTAGGTAATGGTTTTCACTTAAATTATTACAAACCGTATCCAGCATTTTATCTACTGGATAAAAAACTTTGATTTCCCTAAAGTAACATTTTTACTTATAGAAGTCACGTTCCTCTGCTATAGGAATATATTGATGCTGAATTTTTCGAAATTTGCCGACACATTCCTATATATGGTAATAATTAACAATATATGTAAACTGTAAAATAATTCGTTTTTGTAGGGCTCGTTCAAAAAACAAACAAAAAACAAAAACAAACAAACAAACAAACTAACAAAAATAATAATAAAAAAAAAACAAACAAAACAAAACAATTTTTAAACAAAAAACCCAGACAAACAAACAAAATAACTAACAAAAACCCCACAAAAACGAAACCAAGGTTTACATTGATACTTGATTCCATGGCTAGATAGAGCACGTTATAGTAATTATAACAGTTCGTAGACAAATAAAGTTAAGGATTAATAGTACCCATAGACTCAAGGGAAATAAATAATTTTGCAGTACTTAACTGACATCACTCCGTAAGTAAGATAAAAGGCGGGCACTGATTGGACGAACGATGTACAAGCTAGACCAATGGCGGCTACCATCCCGCCCACGAACACTACCAGTCTGTGCGAGTATCGTTCACTCAATGCATTCGCCACAGGACCTGTAATACGGAAATAAAAACGACAAAATTCTCTGAAACTCAGATACTTATTTACATCCTCTAACATCTGGATGACGACTGTGAAGTTTTGAACTCGTGGAAGCTGATAAAATTGATAAATTCAGCTGGCATGTCTATTTCTTCACCAGATGTATGTACATGTAGCTGATATTAAATCGAATGAATGAATAGTTTTAACGATCCTTGATACTAACCTGAACCACCAAATAAAACCGAATGATCTATAGAGTAGTTCAGTATCTCTGGAATCCAAGTGTACAACCACACCGTAGAATGTTTTGTCAATAACAGATACTAGGACGCGTTGGAAGAATGGCTTCAATAATTACAAATGATGTCGATACGATACGGACCGTTAATTTTCCTCGTCCCAAAAGATACAACCACACTTTGGAACATTATATTCAAATACAGCACCACATGTTATAGGAAATCACTACGCTTTCAGGATGTCAGATTTCGTCATACCGAAAAATAGTACCAGGTTATGGAACATATGCTGTCGTTCCACAACATGTTATGAATTACTGATCTAATTACGGAGAAAGGGAGATAATTTGCTGCCTACCTAGAGATAGATGGAAGAATCCAGCAAGGCACTGCGGTCCTATGAGCACACTAGCAGGAACATTGAACCGACGGGACAACTCCACCAGAATGACCCCAAATGATTTCAGTGTCCCTACAATTAGGGCACACACGCCGAAACAACCTGCAACATTGCATATGTGTGTATATTATACAAGACATTATAAAAAAAATTACCAATTTCGTTATTTGTCAGGTACGTAGACAATTGCCGAAGTGTCATCCCTGTGTGGCAACTTTACACATGATTCAGATACACGGTTCTGAACAGACAAACATCAGGTGTCCTTTCATCTTCAATTTGATCTGAAAGTGGTTTTAAGATCATGATTTCACTATTGAAATATAACTTAGATTCTCAATACCGACTAACATGAATGATACAAGTATAAGTGTTTACTCGATGTTTTAACATAGTGACCGTGGTACCACATTAAACGGGACTGTTTTACAGCCAAAGTGTACTACATATCTTCTTGTCGTTTAATATTTCCTTTTAAAACTGTCGTGTAAAGTAATAACCTTTCTGTGACTTAACATGGACGTGTCCGTTCACGTGATATTTGTACAGAAAAAAACGTACTTACAAATTGCAATCACCCAGGACCTCGGTTTGTCAATCGGAAATACGGACACGTGAAATTTCCTGTCAATATTTTTCAGTAATTTTCCCTCTGCACTATATCGATCCGGTGGTGACATTTCCGTATCATAGACCGTGTTAAAACAGACTAGCAGGTACCGGTGTTGACATACATACAAAGTATTACCATCTGTCACGTTATTATAGTTTACATCGACTATAAGATAATATCGTACAAATAATAATAAAAAAAAAAAAAACAGAATTTTTATATTCCTATTTGACTTTCTGATTTAGATATTAGAGAATATGTTATGAGTGCGATTTATCTATATCACAGCTGAGGCAGAGTTTTAGATGAATCTATTGACTACATTTAATTGTGCGTGATATAAGCCATGTATTTTATAGTATTATACAAATAAGGCATACATTTATTGAAGTCTATGCTAATAATATCATCATATTTAAACTAGAATATTTTTCATTGATAATATATTTTAGATCTCGGATGATAGGGACTGTTGAGAACAAAAGAAAAACTGTCATCGAGCAAATCTGGGTCATTTTGAAGAGGAATCCTCTTTGGTATCGGGTGTTGGTCTCAGAGGACATCATGCGGAACCCCTCATGAAAATTAATTATTCTACAGTAAGTGGTGTAAATGGCTATAAAATGACACAGTGCTCTACTTATGTGTGTCCTTAAATCACTCTACTATAACTCATATCGACTGTGACATTTTCTTGTCACGACATCGCTTAATACATTACAAAATAAAAATCCAGAATATCTTATTGGGTTAGGCTAGGTTTAATGTTATTTAATGGCATTCAATGACGACCTGTTTGTGTCAGTAAAACAAAGGGAAGTAACTCTGAGAGATCAGAATGGTGTTAATTGCATACACGTATTTTAGGGGATGCTGTGTGAGTTGGTGTTAAATATTATCGTCTTTAAATCTCTAATAAATTAAACAAGATACTGAATTACTGAAACCCTTCGACTTTCTCGTTTGATAGATTTAATAGTTTAATTGATACGTTTAACATCAGGAACATTTCATCCATGTACTCCGAATATGTTGAGACCGTTCATTATAATCTATATGAAGGGATGTGTAGATTTTTATTAATTTACTTATCTATTTTGTATCCAGATATGTCTATTTTGTATCCAAATATGTCTATTTTGTATCCAGATAAATCTATTTTGTATCCAGATATGTCTATTTTGTATCCAGATAAATCTATTTTGTATCCAGATATGTCTATTTTGTATCCGGATATGTCTATTTTGTATCCAGATATGTCTATTTTGTATCCAGATATGTCTATTTTGTATCCAGATATGTCTATTTTGTATCCGGATATGTTTATTTTGTATCCAGATATGTCTATTTTGTTGGTGTTCTGTAAGATACTAGTACTAATTTCCATAGTGCTCCATTTTCCGCCTTTGTACATCCTTTGTTGTATTTGACGATGTTGTATAAATTAATTATATCCTATTTCTGTATCATTTCCTGTCAATCTGGCAGCAAAAGTCTCATCTTAAAAGCACTTGGCATTGTATGCTGATAATGCTACGCTTGGCTTAAATTTATTTCATAAATCCGCATCAGATACGTAATGGTAGGTCCATAAAGCCAACATTAATATCCGAACTTTCAATATTCATTGCAGGTAATATATTTCAATGCATTGTTACATGAATTTATTTCAAATTTTTGTTTTTTACTTCTTATATGTGTGTTTATTTTTTCTACAGAAAGTTTTACAAAACAAACACACGTACAGACGTAAATGCTACCTTAACAATGCGTGACCTCATCTATACAAACATTATCTATTTTTACCTGTAATCATTATCTACAGGTAAATAGATCACCGGTCATCTCATTCCCTGATAACACGTGTGTAACAGCTGATTAATTTCTTTAAATTAACAATAAGATATATTACCGAAGACAGTTACATACGCCCATCCGTGATCAATTGGTAGGTGGCTGTAGTCTGTCCGAACAGTTTCCTCCACCACGACATGGTCAGTGCTGGTTTTTTTGTTCGCCTGACCAGTGCTCTTCATATTTGTAGGTAACCGTTCAACTGAGCTGAAAATAAATCGTGACTTTTGTCTCTGACGTGAGAAAAGTCATTCTGGAAGACAAGTTTAGTATCTTATCTAGTGTGTTATCCGATATAAATCCGATACAACAGAGGCTTGTAGGATGTGGATTTAAAGTCTATGTACAGTTACCTACTTATGTTAAACATATGTCTTGATGTACGTCCCTGCCATTCAAATGAATTTATTTAAATCCGATCGTCATCTGTACTTCCGTCCAAGAATAAAACGACTCATTGGTTCAGGAGGGGTGACTTATAGGTGAAGTTCCGGTCTAATTCGGCATGTTACGGTCTAGTGTCAGAATGTTAAAACGGTTATATTTAGACTGAGGTCCAGTACGAAGTCTTGATGTGTGTCTACTGTTACAAAGAGTTTATACTAATGTAGAGTAACAGAATTCAGGTCTTGTCTCGACGAGTTCAATGGCAATGGCTGAGAACTGCTGAAGGCTCGCAGTGATCATACTGATGTATAACGACTAAGTTCCGGTCTAGTCTTGTATGTTCATACTGTTGTATAACGAGTTCCGGTCTAGTGTTGTGTGTTCATACTGTTGTATAACGATCGAGATCCGGTCTAGTCTTGTGTGTTCATACTGTTGTATAACGAGTTCCGGTCTGGTCGTGTGTGTTCATACTGTTGTATAACGATCGAGTTCAGGTCTGGTCTTGTGTGTTCATACTGTTGTATAACGATCGAGTTCCGGTCTAGTCTTGTGTGTTCATACTGTTGTATAACGTTCGAGTTCCGGTCAGGTCTTGTGTGGTCATACTATTGTATGACGTTCGAGTTCCGGTCTGGTCTTGTGTGTTCATACTGTTGTATAACGTTCGAGTTCCGGTCAGGTCTTGTGTGGTCATACTGTTGTATAACGATCGAGTTCCGGTCTGGTCTTTTGTGTTCTTATTGTTGTATAACGCCCGAGTTCCGGTCCAGTCTTGTGTGTTCATACTGTTGTATAACGTTCGAGTTCCGGTCTGGTCTTGTTTGTTCATACTGTTGTATAACGACCGAGTTCCGGTCTAGTCTTGTGTGGTCATACTATAGTACAACGTTCGAGTTCCGGTCTGGTCTTGTGTGTTCATACTGTTGTATAACAACCGAGTTCCGATCTAGTCTTGTGTGTTCATACTGTTGTATAACGAGTTCCGGTCTGGTCTTGTGTGTTCATACTGTTGTATAACGATCGAGTTCCAGTCTGATTTTGTGTGTTCATACTGTTGTATAACGTTCGAGTTCCGGTCTAGTTTTGTGTGTTCATACTGTTGTATAACGTTCGAGTTCCGGTCAGGTCTTGTGTGGTCATACTATTGTATGACGTTCGAGTTCCGGTCTGGTCTTGTGTGTTCATACTGTTGTATAACAACCGAGTTCCAATCTAGCCTTGTGTGTTCATACTGTTGTATAACGAGTTCCGGTCTGGTCTTGTGTGTTCATACTGTTGTATAACGATCGAGTTCCAGTCTGATTTTGTGTGTTCATACTGTTGTATAACGTTCGAGTTCCGGTCTAGTCTTGTGTGTTCATACTGTTGTATAACGTTCGAGTTCCGGTCAGGTCTTGTGTGGTCATACTATTGTATGACGTTCGAGTTCCGGTCTGGTCTTGTGTGTTCATACTGTTGTATAACGTTCGAGTTCCGGTCAGGTCTTGTGTGGTCATACTGTTGTATAACGATCGAGTTCCGGTCTGGTCTTGTGTGTTCTTATTGTTGTATAATGCCCGAGTTCCGGTCTACTCTTGTGTGTTCATACTGTTGTATAACGTTCGAGTTCTGGTCTAGTCTTGGGTGTTCATACTGTTGTATAACGATCGAGTTCCGATCTCATCTTTATTTAGATGTGATCAGAAGTCAGCATTGCTTGTATGTGAAGTACCGTTTCCTTACTTGTAACACAAACGCGTTAAATCACTCTTCCTAGTGGTTGTATTGCTTCCTTGATAATTTGATGATTTTATTATTTTTTTTCAGCCATAAACAGTCACAAGATAAATCATTTTCCCGTTATACAATATCAAATTTTATTTCATGTCCTTTTAATGTTTTACTCAGATCTGAATTTAATTTCCTGTTGTCATCTTTCCATGGTATACTTTATCCACGGACTTGTATATTTAAGTCCGTGCTTTATCGAAATATTCATTTTGCACCTCAGTGAAATGATTCTTCCAATCTCCAACTTTTCATGTGAATGAAAATGAAATAAAATGATGAATGAAAAAATAGGATAAATAATCAATAATGATGAAATGTTAAGCAGGGTGACAGATACTACAGCACAAAATGACTGCAAGCCACAAGTAATAAACATTTGCTGTCAATTATCATATTCCAGTTATCTATGTTCGAGTTATTTCCCTTAGCACCACTCTCCGGTAAAGAGGAGTTACTTCCCTCAGTACCACTTTCCGATAGACAGTGGACGAAGAGCGTCAATGTGACACTGACTCGAAAGTAGAACGTCAAATAGCAATAAAACATTTTTCATTTACGAAAATAAAGTATATCGGTATGAGAACATCATAATGGTATCATGATCGATAGAAAGTTACACTCGTATGAGTGTTATGTTGACTTAATTGAACTCGGCCAATGATACTAAACTGCCAAAGGTTATGCACCATAACCAATCATTGTGTATGGTTGATGAAGGTAGGTATTATCACAGTGTATAGTTGGAGTCTGATGTTGTCACTGTGTGTAGTTGATAAAGGTTTGTTATCACTGTTTATAGTTGATGAAGGTTTGTGTTATCACTGTGTGTAGTTGATAAAGGTTTGTTATCACTGTTTATAGTTGATGAAGGTTTGTGTTATCACTGTGTGTAGCTGATGAAGGTTTGTTATCACTGTTTATAGTTGATGAAGGTTTGTGTTATCACTGTTTATAGTTGATGAAGGTTTGTGTTATCACTGTGTGTAGCTGATGAAGGTTTGTTATCACTGTTTATAGTTGATGAAGGTTTGTGTTATCACTGTGTGTAGATGATGAAGGTTTGTGTTATCACTGTGTGTAGTTGATGAAGGTTTGTTATCACTGTTTATAGTTGATGAAGGTTTGTGTTATCACTGTGTGGTTGACGAAGGTTTGTGTTATCACTGTTTATAGTTGATGAAGGTTTGTGTTATCACTGTTTATAGTTGATGAAGGTTTGTGTTATCACTGTTTATAGTTGATGAAGGTTTGTGTTATCACTGTTTATAGTTGATGAAGGTTTGTGTTATCACTGTTTATAGTTGATGAAGGTTTGTGTTATCACTGTGTGTAGTTGATAAAGGTTTGTTATCACTGTGTGTGGTTGATGAAGGTTTGTGTTATCACTGTGCGTGGTTGATGAAGGTTTGTGTTATCACTGTTTATAGTTGATGAAGGTTTGTGTTATCACTGTTTATAGTTGATGAAGGTTTGTGTTATCACTGTTTATAGTTGATGAAGGTTTGTGTTATCACTGTTTATAGTTGACGAAGGTTTGTGTTATCACTGTTTATAGTTGATGAAGGTTTGTGTTATCACTGTTTATAGTTGATGAAGGTTTGTGTTATCACTGTGTGGTTGACGAAGGTTTGTGTTATCACTGTTTATAGTTCATGAAGGTATGTGTTATCACTGTATTGTTGATGAAGGTTTGTGTTATCACTGTGTGTGTTTGATGAAGGTTTGTGTTATCACTGTGTGTGGTTGATGAAGGTTTGTTATCACTGTTTATAGTTGATGAAGGTTTGTGTTATCACTGTATTGTTGATGAAGGTTTGTGTTATCACTGTGCGTGGTTGATGAAGGTTTGTGTTATCACTGTGTGTGGTTGATGAAGGTTTGTGTTATCACTGTGCGTGGTTGATGAAGGTTTGTGTTGTCACTGTGCTTGGTTGATGAAGGTTTGTGTTATCACTGTTTATAGTTCATGAAGGTTTGTGTTATCACTGTTTATAGTTGATGAAGGTTTGTGTTATCACTGTTTATAGTTGATGAAGGTTTGTGTTATCACTGTTTATAGTTCATGAAGGTTTGTGTTATCACTGTGCGTGTTTGATGAAGGTTTGTGTTATCACTGTGTGTGTTTGATGAAGGTTTGTGTTATCACTGTGTGTGGTTGATGAAGGTTTGTTATCACTGTTTATAGTTGATGAAGGTTTGTGTTATCACTGTATTGTTGATGAAGGTTTGTGTTATCACTGTTTATAGTTGATGAAGGTTTGTGTTATCACTGTGTGTGGTTGATGAAGGTTTGTGTTATCACTGTGCGTGGTTGTTGAAGGTTTGTGTTATCACTGTGCGTGGTTGATGAAGGTTTGTGTTATCACTGTGTGTGGTTGATGAATGTTTGTGTTATCACTGTGCGTGGTTGTTGAAGGTTTGTGTTATCACTGTGCGTGGTTGATGAAGGTTTGTGTTATCACTGTGCGTGGTTGATGAAGGTTTGTGTTATCACTGTGCGTGGTTGTTGAAGGTTTGTGTTATCACTGTGCGTGGTTGATGAAGGTTTGTGTTATCACTGTTTATAGTTGATGAAGGTTTGTGTTATCACTGTGCGTGGTTGATGAAGGTTTGTGTTATCACTGAAATATTAAACAGATAAAGGTTGACAAGGATTACACTACCAGTGGATTTCGTGAGCAATATTTAACCACTATATCATATGCCAACGATACTGTATCTGTAAATTGTATAAAACAACGAAATTTCAGCCCCACGAAAATAATTTTTTTTGAAGTATGTGAAATTCGTGACTAGTGATTCCGTCAGTCCTCATCCTTCCTATCTCATACTGATATAACCGATCAAGCTTGATAGATTGTAAACGTCCATTTTGTTACTGAGTAATAACCATATTCCAGATTTACAAAAATTGTATTTGATCGGTTACACAGCTATCTGTAATACTGCTAATCTTTAAGTGGGATCGAAGCCTGATGTGTGAAGACCCTGTTTGATATGCTCTTATCAAAGAACATAAACGATTGAAATATTTTTAAACAAAGCGTTCAAAGTCCAGGTCACGGCGTTTAATTCAGCTGATTTAGAGAACATTTTGTAAATGCATCACGACCAAACATCGTGGTTAATATCTGTCCTGATTTCTTACCCCCTGGGTTACTAAACATCCTTATCTACCCCAATCTATGTTTGAATAGTGTGCAGCTTTGGGGAATACAGGTAGAGAGCGGTATATCTTGTGTGTATCCATCACATCCGTATTCCCAAGGTCAGGACGATTAAAAAGGGCCTTACCATGTCTCGTTTAATACGCTTTTAATATCTTATTTGTTTCATATTAATAGTCCCTCACCCTCCTCACCCTTTCCTCACCCTCCTCACCACCCCACCGTCCCCTCACCCCCGAGACGACAAAGGATTAGAGTTCAATCAACGACTTGTAAAAACAATATCAATAAAACGATAGTTCAGGACGGTACAGTGATATGCAGGTCACAATTTCGCGTTGCTATTCTGTACAAATATGCACCAATCAAAGGTTTTGGAACACGGAGGGTCTTGTTGTATCTGTTTACTAGATCTGCTATCTTATTTATTTACCTCCAGCTGTGTTTTCTAACTAAACGTTGTCAGATAGAATCCTTGTTATCTATAACAGTGTCAACTTCCTTGTTCGAAAGAAACTCTCAAAAGAAACCATATAATGACATCGATTTTAAATCTAAATTGTTATTGTAACCAACATAGATCTGTTTTATTTCATATCTTTTTCGATAAGTGCACATTCTCTCTCAATTACATGACAGAAACAAAAAATACAAACAAACAAACAAACAAACAAACAACAATTAAACAAAACCAAATACAAAAAGAAACCAGAAACTAAATACCAAAAAAGTGATAATTGTCAACACATGGTATAATTTATGGAATTTTGTAAACATTTTGGTTTCGTACACCTTCACATCTGAATTTAGACATCTTTTGCGACCGATTAACAGTTTAGGTCCTTTACCGAATACTCCTAAAAGGACGAAGTATTTATACATGATGTAATTTAAGTCACCATTGGCCTCGACTGTATCAAATTCAAAATTTGTGTTGATAATAATAAATAATAAATACATAAATGATAATAATAGATGTTATTCGCTTGTTTGTCCTGTTTTGTACAGTATGATGCAACTCTTAATGTAATAAAGATAAGTTCATTACATTAAGCGTAACGGTCACAACGCTTAATGTAACAATGGTTACATTAGCGTCGTTATTACATTAAGAGTTGCCTCACAGTATGCAATGAAAAGATATATCAAAACCAATGTTATTTAAACATAAACACCGCGCTTTTGAGATCATGTGTCATTGGTTACTAGAGACCTTTTCTGATTTGATAACTCTTTTTTAACATGTTTCGATGTGAATTTAAGACATGGTTCGTTATGTCTAGAGGAAACCAGGATTCGATGTCTGGGATTTAATACACACATGTTATTCATGCAACCGGCATCGAAATAGGTAATTAACACCATCACCCCCTCCACCCCCTAACTAGGTGACGGATAAATGACAAGATGTCCGGCGAGGGAAATATCCCGTATTGAAATCGATCATGAGACAACGGTAAAAAAGGCACACATTTAAATTAACGCTTCGTGTGTTTCAAAATAATATTTGAAGATGCACATTCAGTACACATTTTTCAAAACAGCTAATCACGTGTTAGGTAAAACGTTAAGGATCTTCGCAACTGAAACATCTGACCACGTGACTGCTTCTCAGGGATCACATTAGTTCTTTAAGGCGCGTTCCAACAGAGATACAAGGTGCGTGGAGGTGCGTTCGATCACCACGTTTGTTTAACGAAGATATAGTGTGGTTCAAGGTAAGTGTAATATAATGTATATTGCTATTGGACTCAATCAATATGATTTTTTTTCTTAACTTAAAAAAACATTAGTATAAGGGACTTACAAAAAATATCGAACACAGATCAATTTCCTTTATCATCTACTATGATATTCAAATGAGACAATGATTATTTCATGGTTTGACAGCATCTTCATCTTTTGATAAAATACATTGAAGAAATAATTTTGTTTCATCCTTTTTTGTTTTTGTTTTTGAAAGCTAAGTTTGTAAATGATTTTCATTTTGCATTTATTTGAACAACGAGATTTTGTGTTTATATTTTCACTATGAAAAGGTAAAGAAAAAAACTGACTTACGACAACTTTGTATATCAAGTAACATATTAATCGAATGCAGATCTACATTACTTAATTCTATTATTTTCACAGTGCTATAAACAAACGATAGAAAAAATCGAATGCATATTTAATTACATTGTTGGAAAATTTCCTTTCTCCGGATTTGAAGCGATACTTTATGTGAACTATAGAATGTAAAACGTTTTAATATTCTTACATATTGTAATTCATGTTAAAATTCCTGCATTGTAGCCAAAATTATGAATATTGAGATTTCTGTTATTAATCTCGTGTATTAAATTTCATTTAAATCTAGTTTTAAACTCTGATAAAGATTTTACATAAAATTGATTATTGGGAAATCGAAAAACACGAAAGCCCACAAATCCATAAATTTCAAGCTACATTATACATATGTATTTTAATCGTTTAAATATTGGAATAGATATGGAATGGAATATTTTGAGGTTGACTCCAGAGATTCGTGAAAGAAAATAGGGGAATAAAATATTATCAGTAATATGTCACATCCTATCAAATTGTTTATCGAGATATTTGAGAGTCATAACAAAAAAGATCGATTACGTCACATTCACAACCATGTATGGTAATAGAGCGTTGTACGGACACAAGAGATTAGCAACTTTCAAAGCAATTTTAGAATTAGATATAGCAGGGCCGAATAAAGAATTAACCTTCGTCAAGAGGCTGTTTCGTCTCTCTAGGACCAGGCAGTGACACCTAGTATTTTTAAACTATGGATGACAGAGGGGAAAAAAACGGGACGAAATGAAATGTGTGAAAAAAATCCAGATGAGAGAGTTATTAATAGACACTAAACTTTATTTATTTTACAACAATTCCCAAACAAGTTTTTCCAACTTATATTAATCACTCTTGTTGGCCCGGATGAAAGCGCGCGAGGGGTCTTACTGTGGGAGGAAACCGGAGTACCCACGGAAAACCCACGTGGTCGGGCAGGTGACTCCATACCTCTTCACATCCATTCCGGGAATCAAATCCCGTACGGCTAGGTGAAAGGCGAGTGCGTTACCACTGCGTCACCCGACTATTACAGTTATCAACGCCATAATTCAATAAATACAATACATTTTGATATTAGATGTTTCAAATGAGCGTAATGGCCGAGGTATTCTGATCTACATGTACTATCCGAATAAATTAAGTCGTAACATACAGGTTAAGGTAAATCCCGAGGATACACGTATGCCAGTAGTTTCTTGTAATTCCGAGTATTGTACAAAAGACACACAAATGGATAGTAAATTACTAGTACATTAATGTATTTTATTGGGTTGATAAATACTTCGAAATCTCTGCAAAATGTTATGCATGATGTATACAGAAACGTGTATAAGGTAATTAGGCATTACATCAATGACTGGGGGCGAGGTCAGCCCGGTTATTGTAATGATGTCAGTAGGGAAATCCTAAATATGTGTACAGGTAATTAAATACTGTGGTTTACTTAACATAATTCAGAAAACTGTTTACGGAATCAAATTTACTTTTGACAAAATTAATCAACAAAATCAAATAAAAATGAAAAATCGTAGAAAATTAGAAATAAAGATATTATTTTGGAATAACCGGAATCTCTCTATGTTTGTATTTCAGGGTCCAGGGTTCAAGGGACAATGGTATGTATTTCTGTGATAAGTTTGTTTAGTAATACTCAGGCTAATAGAATGGATTATACAAATACTATAATATTAGGTACAGTAACTTCTGCTAAGGCTGATGCAATAACTTTTAGAACGGTGGACAAGATTCTGCCGACTCACTGGTTAAGTAAGGTGGACAAGATTCTGCCGACTCACTGGTTAAGTAAGGTGGACAAGATTCTGCCGACTCACTGGTTAAGTAAGGTGGTCAAGATTCTGTCGACTCACTGTTTAAGTAAAGTGGACAAGATTCTGTCGACTCAATGTTTAAGTAAAGTGGACACGATTCTGTAGACTCATTGGTTAAGTAACGTGAACAAGATTCTGCCGACTCACTGGTTAAGTAAGGTGGACAAGAATCTGTCGATTCACTGGTTAGGTAAGATGGACAAGATTATGTCGACTCACTGTTTAAGTAAGGTAAACAAGATTTTGTAGCCTCACTGTTTAGGTAAGGTAAACAAGATTCTGTCGACTCACTGTTTAAGTAAGGTAAACAAGAGTCTGTCGACTCACTTTTTAAGAAAGGTGAACAAGATTCTGTCCACTCACTGTTTGAGTAAGATGGACAAGATTCTGTCCACTCACTGTTTAAGTAAAGTGGAAAAGATTCTGCCGACTCACTGTTTAAGTAAGGTGGACAAGATTCTGTCGATTAACTGGTTAGGTAAGGTGGACGAGATTATGTAGTCTCACTGTTTAAGTAAGGTAAACAAGATTCTGTCGACTCACTGTTTAAGTTAGGTGGACAAGATTCTGTCGACTCACTGTTTGAATAAGGAGAACAAGATTCTGCCGACTCACTGTTTAAGTAAGGTGTACAAGATTCTGTCGACTTACTGTTTAAGTAAAGTGGACAAGATTCTGTCGACTCACTGTTTAAGTAAAGTTAACAAGATTCTGTCGACTCACTGTTTGAGTACGATGGAAAAGATTCTGTCGTCTAACTGTTTAAGTAAAGTGGACAAGATTCTGTCGACTCACTGTTTAAGTAAAGTGGAAAAGATTTACTCACTGTTTAAGTAAGGTGGACAAGATTCTGTCGATTAACTGGTTAGGTAAGGTGGACGAGATTATGTAGTCTCACTGTTTAAGTAAGGTAAACAAGATTCTGTCGACTCACTGTTTAAGTTAGGTGGACAAGATTCTGTCGACTCACTGTTTGAATAAGGAGAACAAGATTCTGCCGACTCACTGTTTAAGTAAGGTGTACAAGATTCTGTCGACTCACTGTTTAAGTAAAGTTAACAAGATTCTGTCGACTCACTGTTTAAGTAAAGTGGACAAGATTCTGTCGACTCACTGTTTAAGTAAAGTGGACAAGATTCTGTCGACTCACTGTTTGAGTAAGGTGAACAAGATTCTGTCTGTTTAAGTAAAGATTGGAAAAGACTGGTCTAACTGTTTAAGTAAAGTGGACAAGAGATTATGTGAACAAGAGTCGACTCACTGTTTAAGTAAGGTAAAACAAGATTCTGTCGACTCACTGTTTTAGTAAAGTTGGACCAGATTCTGTCGTCTCACTGTTTAAGTAAGGTAAACAAGATTCTGTCGACTCACTGTTTAAGTAAAGTGGACAAGATTCTGTCGACTCACTGGTTAAGTAAAGTTAACAAGATTCTGTCGACTCACTGTTTGAGTAGGGTGAACAAGATTCTGTCGACTCACGTCTCACTCACTGTTTAAGTAAGTGGACAAGATTCTGTCGACTCACTGTTTGAGTAAGGTGAACAAGATTCTGTCGACTCACTGTTTAAGTAAGGTGGACGAGATTATGTAGTCTCACTGTTTAAGTAAGGTGGACAAGATTCTGTCGTCTAACTGTTTAAGTAAAGTGGACAAGATTCTGTCGTCTCACTGTTTAAGTAAGTTGTAAACAAGATTCTGTCGACTCACTGTTTAAGTCAGGTGGACAAGATTCTGTCGACTCACTGTTTAAGTAAATTTGACAAGATTCTGGTTAAGTAAAGTGTAGACTTACTGAGTAAGGTGGACAAGATTCTGTCGACTCACTGTTTGAATAAGGAGAACAAGATTCTGTCACCGACTCACTGTTTAAGTAAGGTGTAAGTAAGGTGTACAAGATTCTGTCGACTTACTGTTTAAGTAAAGTGGACAAGATTCTGTCGACTCACTGTTTAAGTAAAGTTAACAAGATTCTGTCGACTCACTGTTTGAGTACGATGGAAAAGATTCTGTCGTCTAACTGTTTAAGTAAAGTGGACAAGATTCTGTCGACTCACTGTTTAAGTAAAGTGGAAAAGATTCTGCCGACTCACTGTTTAAGTAAGGTGGACAAGATTCTGTCGATTAACTGGTTAGGTAAGGTGGACGAGATTATGTAGTCTCACTGTTTAAGTAAGGTAAACAAGATTCTGTCGACTCACTGTTTAAGTTAGGTGGACAAGATTCTGTCGACTCACTGTTTGAATAAGGAGAACAAGATTCTGCCGACTCACTAAGGTGTTTAAGACAAGATTCTGATTAACTGTTTAAGTAAAGTTAACGAGATTATGACTCACTGTTTAAGTAAGGTGGACAAGATTCTGTCGACTCACTGTTTAAGTAAAGTGGACAAGATTCTGTCGTCTCACTGTTTGAGTACGATGGAAAAGATTCTGTCGTCTAACTGTTTAAGTAAAGTGGACAAGATTCTGTCGACTCACTGTTTGAGTAAGGTGAACAAGATTCTGTCGACTCACTGTTTAAGTAAGGTGGACAAGATTCTGTCGACTCACTGTTTAAGTAAAGTGGACAAGATTCTGTCGTCTCACTGTTTAAGTAAGGTAAACAAGATTCTGTCGATTAACTGGTTAGGTAAGGTGGACGAGATTATGTAGTCTCACTGTTTAAGTAAGGTGGACAAGATTCTGTCGTCTAACTGTTTAAGTAAAGTGGACAAGATTCTGTCGTCTCACTGTTTAAGTAAGGTAAACAAGATTCTGTCGACTCACTGTTTAAGTAAAGTGGACAAGATTCTGTCGACTCACTGGTTAAGTAAAGTTAACAAGATTCTGTCGACTCACTGTTTGAGTAAGGTGAACAAGATTCTGTCGACTCACTGTTTAAGTAAGGTGGACAAGATTCTGTCGACTCACTGTTTAAGTAAAGTGGACAAGATTCTGTCGTCTCACTGTTTAAGTAAGGTAAACAAGATTCTGTCGATTAACTGGTTAGGTAAGGTGGACGAGATTATGTAGTCTCACTGTTTAAGTAAGGTGGACAAGATTCTGTCGTCTAACTGTTTAAGTAAAGTGGACAAGATTCTGTCGTCTCACTGTTTAAGTAAGGTAAACAAGATTCTGTCGACTCACTGTTTAAGTAAAGTGGACAAGATTCTGTCGACTCACTGTTTAAGTAAATTTGACAAGATTCTGTAGACTTACTGTTTAAGTAAGGTAGAAAAGATTATGTCGTTTCACTGTTTGAATGAGGTGGACAAGATTCTGTCGACTCACTGTTTAAGTAAGGTAAACAAGATTCTGTCGACTCACTGTTTAAGTAAAGTGTACAAGATTCTGTCGACTCACTGTTTAAGTAAAGTGGACACGATTCTGTCGACTCACTGGTTAAGTACAGTGAACAAGATTCTGTCGACTCACTGTTTAAGTAAAGTGTACAAGATTCGGTCGACTCACTGTTTAAGTAAAGTGTACAAGATTCTGTCGACTCACTGGTTAAGTAAAGTGGACACGATTCTGTAGACTCACTGTTTAAGTAAGGTAAACAAGATTCTGTCGACTCACTGGTTAAGTAACGTGAACAAGATTCTGTCGACTCACTGTTTAAGTAAGATGGACAAGATTCTGTCGACTCACTGTTTAAGTAAAGTGGACAAGATTCTGTCGACTCACTGGTTAAGTAAGGTGGACAAGATTCTGTCGACTCACTGTTTAAGTAAAGTGGACAAGATTCTGTCGACTCACTGGTTAAGTAAGGTGGACAAGATTCTGTCGACTCACTGTTTAAGTAAATTGAACAAGATTCTGTAGACTCACTGTTTAAGTAAGGTAGAAAAGATGATGTCGTTTCACTGTTTGAATGAGGTGGACAAGATTCTGTCTACTGGCTGTTTAAATGAGGTGGACAAGATTCTGTCTCCTGGCTGTTTAAATGAGGTGGACAAGATTCTGTCTACTGGCTGTTTAAATGAGGTGGACAAGATTCTGTCTACTGGCTGTTTAAATGAGGTGGACAAGATTCTGTCGACTCACTGTTCAAGTAAGGTGAACAAGATTCTGTCGTCTCATTGTTAAAGTAAGGTGAATAAGATTCTATCGACTCACTGTTTAAATGAGGTGGACAAGATTCTGTCGTCCCACTGTTTAAATCAGGTGGACAAGATTCTGTCGACTCACTGTTTAAGTAAAGTGGACAAGATTCTGTCTATTCGCTGGTTAAGTAAGGTGGACACGATTCTGTCGACTCACTGGTTAAGTAAAGTGGACACGATTCTGTAGACTCACTGTTTAAGTAAAGTGTACAAGATTCTGTCGACTCACTGTTTAAGTAAAGTGTACAAGATTCTGTCGACTCACTGTTTAAGTAAAGTGTACACGATTCTGTCGACTCACTGTTTAAGTAAAATGAACAAGATTCTGTCGTCTCATTGTTAAAGTAAGGTGAATAAGATTCTGTCGTCTCATTGTTAAAGTAAGGTGAATAAGATTCTGTCGTCTCATTGTTAAAGTAAGGTGAATAAGATTCTGTCTACTGGCTGTTTAAATGAGGTGGACAAGATTCTGTCGACTCACTGTTCAAGTAAGGTGAACAAGATTCTGTCGTCTCATTGTTAAAGTAAGGTGAATAAGATTCTGTCGACTCACTGTTTAAATGAGGTGGACAAGATTCTGTCGTCCCACTGTTTAAATCAGGTGGACAAGATTCTGTCGACTCACTGTTTAAGTAAAGTGGACAAGATTCTGTCTATTCGCTGGTTAAGTAAGGTGGACACGATTCTGTCGACTCACTGGTTAAGTAAAGTGGACACGATTCTGTAGACTCACTGTTTAAGTAAAGTGTACAAGATTCTGTCGACTCACTGTTTAAGTAAAGTGTACAAGATTCTGTCGACTCACTGTTTAAGTAAAGTGGACACGATTCTGTCGACTCACTGGCTAAGTAAGTGAACAAGATTCTGTCGACTCACTGTTTAAGTAAAGTGGACACGATTCTGTCGACTCACTGGCTAAGTAAAGTGAACAAGATTCTGTCGACTCACTGTTTAAGTAAGGTGGACAAAATTATGTCGACTCACTGTTTAAGTAAGGTGGACAAGATTCTGTAGACTCACTGTGTAAGTAAGGTAAACAAGATTAATTTGTTTCACTGGTTAAGTAAGACGGACAAGATTCTGTAGACTCACTGTTTAAGTAAGGTGGACAAGATTCTGTCGACTCACTGTTTAAGTAAGGTAAACAAGATTCTGTCGACTCACTGGTTAAGTAACGTGAACAAGATTCTGTCGTCTCAATGTTTAAATCAGGTGGGCAAGATTCTGTCGACTCACTGTTTAAGTAAAGTGGACAAGATTCTGTCGACTCACTGGTTAGGTAAGGTGTACAAGATTCTGTCGACTCACTGTTTAAGTGGACAAGATTCTGTCGACTCACTGGTTCAGTAAGGTGGACAAGATTCTGTCGTCCCAATGTTTAAATCAGGTGGGCAAGATTCTGTCGACTCACTGTTTAAGTTAGGTGGATAGGTTTCTTTCGACTCACTGGTTAAGTAAGGTGGGCAAGATACTGTTGTCTCAATGTTTAAATCAGGTGGGCAAGATTCTGTCGACTCACTGTTTAAGTAAGGTGGATAAGATTCTGTCGACTCACTGTTTAAATCAGGTGGGCAAGATTCTGTCGACTCACTGGTTAAGTAAGGTGGACAAGATTCTGTCGACTCACTGGTTAAGTATGGTGGACAAAATTCTGTCGACTCACTGTTTAAGTAAGGTGAACAAGATTCTGTCGACTCACCGTTTAAGTAAGGTGGACAATATTCTGTCGACTCACTGGTTAAGTAACGTGAACAAGATTCTGTCGTCTCACTGTTTAAATCAGGTGGGCAAGATTCTGTCGACTCACTGTTTAAGTAAGGTGGATAAAATTCTGTCGACTCACTGGTTAATTAAAGTGAACAAGATTCTGTCGACTCAATGTTTAAGTAAGGTTGACAAGATTCTGTCGACTCACTGGTTAATTAAAGTGAACAAGATTATGTCGACTCACTGTTTAAGTAAGGTGGACAAGATTCTGTCGACTCACTGATTAAGTAAGGTGGACAAAATTGATCGGCCCTGTTGGTAATGAACTGGATAATATTCAGCAACCTTTTCTAGATTTTCCCGCAGCTATTAATAAGTGTACTGGACTAAATGGTAGATGTTGTGTCGTAGACGGTATTATCTATTTCAACAGACTACGTTCTCGAGACTACAGTGTCACGTAAACAGAATAAAATTGGAAATTTATTGTTGTAGAAAGTATTTCATAATTAGATATAGGTTTTTTGAAACAAACGTTGATTAAAGTCATGAAACGTGGTTTAAATAATTTTATGTATAAACATATTCTATTTTGAAGGAAGACTGAATCCCTCAAAGGACTTAAACTTCCGAATGACTGATAAAAATAGAATTTTATTCAATATACAGAGTTAAAGTCTGAAATGTACCAATAATAAATTACTACATTAGAATGTCTTATCCCGTTTATTTCTATTTTTCAGAAGGGCGTAACACTTCTCTTTCTGGTGACCTTGACAGCGTTTCTCTCTGACGTAACAGATGCTGCCACGTGCCCCCTCGCTGCCAGTCTTGGGTGCTTTTGTCAGAACGGCGTTGTTGACTGCACCAATAAAAACCTTGATGCAGTCCCACCATTCAGCAGCGCAGGATGGGATCAATTCACGATCGTCAGACTCTCTAAAAACAACATTACAAGCGTCCCTAGCAACGCCTTCCTCCACATCAATGTGACCACAATCGAGCTTGACTACAATAACATCAATCATATAGCAACAGATGCTTTCGCGGGGATTTCAAATTATCTAACCACGTTAGATTTGGAGGGAAACAAACTCATCGCAGCGTCTGAGGCTTTCAAACACCTTCCACATCTGACCAGTCTGAATATTTTGCACAACCCTGTCCGATCAGTCCCTGATCCAGTCTTGTACGCCCTCGGTTCAACACTTCTGGACTTCAGCTTTGGAGATGATGGCTTGGATATTTGGCCAACAACACTGAATCACTTACAAACACTGAAAAGTCTTCGGTTTGAAGGTTTGGGCATGAAAAATATCCCCTTTGCTGCATTCCATGGATTTGAACTGACGTTACGTAAACTCACCTTACGTAGGACCGGGATATCGGCTGTGCCCAGGGCAATAAAAGAACTGCTTTACCTGGAGGAATTATATTTTGAAGATAACATTAATGTTCATGACTCGGGGATAATTGAGAGCGCCTTCCAAACGGCTCGTCCTGGTGGAGGATCGCCAATTCAAACCCTTAGTCTAAAGAATAACAGCCTGAGTACCTTTCCAACAGCACTCAAGGAATTACCCGAATTAACAACCTTCATCATGGATGATAACCGCCTGTGGTATATCAACGACGCCATGGTGTCGTATGTGCGGGGTTACATGTTTAATGTCAGTCTGCGGGGTTGCAGCCTTGATCGCGTCCCACAAGCCATTCTTCGTATCAAGCATCTCCAGAACCTTGACCTTTCCAAGAACAATATAAATAGCATATATAGTAACGATTTCACCTTCAATGATGGAAGTTTACACCACGAGCACTTGAAGTTTTTGAACCTCGCCAGTAATCCGTTAGCGTACATAGCTAGTACCTCCTTCGAACGTCTCGCCGCGCTCACAGAAGTTAACATCACATCGACCGCGCTAAAGGCGATTCCATGTGCCTTGGGTAATGTTCCCAGCCTCTCCAAGGTTTATGTTCACAATACACCTGTTGAGTGCACCTGTGACTTAAAGTGGATACAGGCGACCGAAGCCAGCCACGTTACCTTCGAGGGTGAGTGCGAAACCATCACACAGAACATACAAGACTACATCACCAAACGGATTCCATTATGTCCCAACGATATCAGTAGCCGGACCCGCTGTCGTCCCTAGAAAACGATATCGCTCGCCGGACACATATATCGCTGTCTAAGTCCTCCACGTGACACTCGTATTAAATAAACTGGTTAAAAATCGCCATTTTCAGAAAATGAAATCTGTTTTTCACTTAGCATAATGCATTATTATGTACATACGTAGTGGATTTCTTACCTTTATACTGGCAATACCGACATTTCTTGTCTCTTGGTATAATATTAAAAACATTCACTCATTTTTGTAGTCATAACCACTTACAGGAAAATTATGCAAAGTTATTTCTCGGAACTTGTTCTCCGAATCATAACTTTCAGTAATCAAAGCTAAATATCTAAATAACATAATATTGCTTACCTTATATTGCAAAATCATATCTTCAAATGTTTTCCAAAAATATTTTTCGTTGGTATTTGATTTCGTTGAGAAATACTGATTATAAGATTACAAGCCGTTTACTTCACCGGGTTTTATCTTTCTATATATGGATATGTAAATTAGTCGATTTAGGATATCCACAAATTCAATGAATAGAATCCTCTACAGACGTTAGTGAATTCATCGTTAGTTCTTTAAAAGTCAGTCTTGATCATCGTCCATTGAAAGAACATCTGACACATCACTGAACCCAAGACCCTTTAGTTGAACAACTAAACTTTACAAGTAAAGAATAACACAAAGCACCTGAAGACTATATTTCCTTACTAGCGAATGCGCATGTCAACAACAATTTATGTTTAAGCCCAGACAAGTTGCCTCCCACTATCAATACAAATATCGTTTTGATTATCATTCTGCTGTTAGATCAGTTAATGAAGAGAACATGGTAACCGTTTGAGTCAAATGACCTAAACATGTTAGTTCTAATATGAAAATGATGAATCCGACCTGGGTAGATATTTCAGGTATAATCCGACCTTAACCAATGTTATGAAAATTCTTCCTCTTCATGCTCTACTATATTTTGAAATAAAAGAGTTTTGTCTGCAAAATCTTTCGTCAAAAATCATCTATAAAGTTGAAAAAGATGTTTCCTTAATCTATGATAAGGACTCTGAAATATAATCCCTGATCTGCCTGCTGAATCTATGATAAAGAATCTGAAATATAATCCCTGATCTGCCTGCTGAATCTATGATAAAGACTCTGAAATATAATCCCTGATCTGCCTGCTGAATCTATGATAAAGAATCTGAAATATAATCCCTGATCTGCCTGCTGAATCTATGATAAAGAATCTGAAATATAATCCGCGATCTGCCTGCTGAATCTATGATAAAGAATCTGAAATATAATCCCTGATCTGCCTGCTGAATCTATGATAAAGACTCTGAAATATAATCCGCGATCTGCCTGCTGAATCTATGATAAAGACTCTGAAATATAATCCCTGATCTGCCTGCTGAATCTATGATAAAGAATCTGAAATATAATCCCTGATCTGCCTGCTGAATCTATGATAAAGAATCTGAAATATAATCCCTGATCTGCCTGCTGAATCTATGATAAAGAATCTGAAATATAATCCCTGATCTGCCTGCTGAATCTATGATAAAGAATCTGAAATATAATCCCTGATCTGCCTGCTGAATCTATGATAAAGAATCTGAAATATAATCCCTGATCTGCCTGCTGAATCTATGATAAAGAATCTGAAATATAATCCCTGATCTGCCTGCTGAATCTATGATAAAGACTCTGAAATATAATCCGCTATGATAAAGACTCTGAAATATAATCCGCGATCTGCCTGCTGAATCTATGATAAAGACTCTGAAATATAATCCGCGATCTGCCTGCTGAATCTATGATAAAGAATCTGAAATATAATCCCTGATCTGCCTGCTGAATCTATGATAAAGAATCTGAAATATAATCCCTGATCTGCCTGCTGAATCTATGATAAAGAATCTGAAATATAATCCGCGATCTGCCTGCTGAATCTATGATAAAGACTCTGAAATATAATCCCTGATCTGCCTGCTGAATCTATGATAAAGAATCTGAAATATAATCCCTGATCTGCCTGCTGAATCTATGATAAAGAATCTGAAATATAATCCCTGATCTGCCTGCTGAATCTATGATAAAGAATCTGAAATATAATCCCTGATCTGCCTGCTGAATCTATGATAAAGACTCTGAAATATAATCCCTGATCTGCCTGCTGAATCTATGATAAAGAATCTGAAATATAATCCGTGATCTGCCTGCTGAATCTATGATAAAGAATCTGAAATATAATCCGTGATCTGCCTGCTGAATCTATGATAAAGAATCTGAAATATAATCCCTGATCTGCCTGCTGAATCTATGATAAAGAATCTATGAGAATATAATCTGCCTGCTGAATCTATGATAAAGACTCTGATCTGCCTGCTGAATCTATGATAAAGACTCTGAAATATAATCCCAGAACTGCCTGATGAAACTATGATAAAGACTCTGAAATATAATCCGCGATCTGCCTGCTGAATCTATGATGAGGAGTCTGAAATATAATACATGATCTGCCTGCTGAATCTATGATAAAGAATCTGAAATATAATCCGTGAGAATCTATGATAAAGACTCTGAAATATAATCCCTGATCTGCCTGCTGAATCTATGATAAAGAATCTGAAATATAATCCCTGATCTGCCTGCTGAATCTATGATAAAGAATCTGAAATATCTATCTGCCTGCTGAATCTATGATAAAGAATCTGAAATATAATCCCTGATCTGCCTGCTGAATCTATGATAAAGAATCTGAAATATAATCCGTGATCTGCCTGCTGAATCTATGATAAAGAATCTGAAATATAATCCCTGATCTGCCTGCTGAATCTATGATAAAGAATCTGAAATATAATCCGCGATCTGCCTGCTGAATCTATGATAAAGAATCTGAAATATGATCCTGAAATATAATCCCTGATCTGCCTGCTGAATCTATGATATCTGAAATATAAGATCTGCCTGCTGAATCTGAAATATAATGATATCTGAAATATAATCCGCGATCTGCCTGCTGAATCTATGATAAAGACTCTGAAATATAATCCGCGATCTGCCTGCTGAATCTATGATAAAGAATCTGAAATATAATCCGCGATCTGCCTGTTGAATCTATGATAAAGAATCTGAAATATAATCCGCGATCTGCCTGTTGAATCTATGATAAAGACTCTGATATATAACCCCTGATCTGCCTGCTGAATCTATGATAAAGACTCCGAAATATAATCCCTGATCTGCCTGCTGAATCTATGATAAAGAATCTGAAATATAATCCCTGATCTGCCTGCTGAATCTATGATAAAGACTCTGAAATATAATCCGCGATCTGCCTGCTGAATCTATGATAAAGACTCTGAAATATAATCCCTGATCTGCCTGCTGAATCTATGATAAAGAATCTGAAATATAATCCGCGATCTGCCTGCTGAATCTATGATAAAGACTCTGAAATATAATCCGCGATCTGCCTGCTGAATCTATGATAAGGACTCTGAAATATAATCCGCGATCTGCCTGCTGAATCTATGATAAAGAATCTGATATATAACCCCTGATCTGCCTGCTGAATCTATGATAAAGAATCTGAAATATAATCCGCGATCTGCCTGCTGAATCTATGATAAAGAATCTGAAATATAATCCGCGATCTGCCTGCTGAATCTATGATAAAGAATCTGAAATATAATCCGCGATCTGCCTGCTGAATCTATGATAAAGAATCTGATATATAACCCCTGATCTGCCTGCTGAATCTATGATAAAGAATCTGAAATATAATCCGCGATCTGCCTGCTCTGAAATATAATCCGCGTATGATAAAGAATCTGAAATATAATCCGCGATCTGCCTGCTGAATCTATGATAAAGAATCTGAAATATAATCCCTGATCTGCCTGCTGAATCTATGATAAAGAATCTGAAATATAATCCCTGATCTGCCTGCTGAATCTATGATAAAGAATCTGAAATATAATCCCTGATCTGCCTGCTGAATCTATGATAAAGAATCTGAAATATAATCCGCGATCTGCCTGCTGAATCTATGATAAAGACTCTGAAATATAATCCCTGATCTGCCTGCTGAATCTATGATAAAGACTCTGAAATATAATCCCTGATCTGCCTGCTGAATCTATGATAAAGAATCTGAAATATAATCCGCGATCTGCCTGCTGAATCTATGATAAAGACTCTGAAATATAATCCGCGATCTGCCTGCTGAATCTATGATAAAGAATCTGAAATATAATCCGCGATCTGCCTGCTGAATCTATGATAAAGACTCTGAAATATAATCCGCGATCTGCCTGCTGAATCTATGATAAGGACTCTGAAATATAATCCCTGATCTGCCTGCTGAATCTATGATAAAGACTCTGAAATATAATCCCTGATCTGCCTGCTGAATCTATGATAAAGACTCTGAAATATAATCCGCGATCTGCCTGCTGAATCTATGATAAAGACTCTGAAATATAATCCCTGATCTGCCTGCTGAATCTATGATAAAGACTCTGAAATATAATCCTGCCTGCATGATATATGGTTACAAATCAGACAGTTGTAACTCATATACAAAATTGCATTTTGATAACTTGAAGCATTACCAAGTTCAACGGGGGATAACTCTGTCAAGAAAGTCGTAAATCGAACCTTATCTGTAATGTTCGACCATGAAGCCATTTCTTATATTTCATTTCAAAAACTCTAAACATAATCAAGAAAAGTACAAAAAACCATATTCTCAAAGAATTATCGAAGAGGCATAATAACTCTGCAAAGAATGCTAACAGACAGCCCAGAATCAAAACTAATCTGTGCCCTTCCAACAAGAAGCCATATACCAGATTTTATTTTTATAAACCAAAGCATAACCAAAGAAAGACCAGAAAACAAAGGGGCATAACTCTGCCAAGAAGGGTTACAGACAGCCAGAAATCGAACTTAATATGTACCCTTCCAACAAGACGCCATATACTAAATTTCATTTTGATAACTCAAAGCATAGTCGAAAAAAGTCCGGAAAAGTTTCGTACGGACGCCGCGTGACGACGGACAAAGTGATCCCTAAGTGTCCGCCAGCTCTGCAGGCGACACAAAAATGATAATATACAAAGATAACAACAGCACAAGACACCAACAAAGATGGAGATGTAAACAGGAGTCACACAGAAACAGGAAAAAGAATTTTTTGGATTTCGCTGGTTACATCATAAAGTACCACTACAGTAAGACA